AGGGTACCAAATACCACTGATGACCTTATGCCCCAAGGGAAGAGGATTTATCTTAGGGAGACGGTGTTTGCCAGGATGGGACACAGCTCGAGAGCCAATACTGATGCAGGAACTAGAGCAAGAGTGCCTAGATTGCGGAGACTTCATGGGAAGGCCTGTTAAATCTGTATGATGGCACAAGGGAGTAGAGGGTGAGCAGCTGAAGAGTGCCAGGGGCAAGGAATTAGCCTGTGAACATAAAGGGGTACTCTGAACCTGAAACCCTGAAGAGCAAACTACCCAAGGACTTGCAAGGAACAGCAACCACCCTCTCCCCCCTTACAAAAGTGGGGGCACAACCTCATGCTGAAGACTTCTCTGAGGGTTTAACAGGTTTCTTGCTTTCAGCCAGGTGGGCTGAGGATACAGCTTAGAGGGTTCACTGGTGAAAATTCAGAAGTAGATGAAGGATGGGACTCAACTGACCGTTCCTTTGACTTCTTAAGCTGAGACAGGTGTAAGTTCTGGCCTCCCATGATATAATGATGTCCAGTGTAGGCCTGAAGAGATAGAGTCCCTCATAGAACAAGGGAGTCAGTTGCTCCTTGAATACAGCATCTGCCTTCCCAGCACCTTTATCAGAGTGCTCTGCACATCTGTATGGGCAACAGACCCAAGCTGCTTCTAGCCACGCATCTGCTTGCACATTATCAGGAAAGTATCTACAGCAGCAGCCGGGAGCTTTTTTTTTTTGAGGGATTTAACCTATTTTGCCAGTTTGACAGAATAAGGTCAGAGTCAGAAGCGGGGAAAGGGCAGAGCCCACCAGTGAAAACTGAGTGTTAAAGAGGGATTCCAACTGCTGGTCCTTAAAAGGTGGGCACACCTTCTACTGGCCTGGTGGTTTTCCTGTTAAGGATGATCATTGATTAACCCCTTCATGACTGAGGCCCTTTTTTCCATTTTTGCACCCATGTTATATTCCACATTTTAGGCCTGAAAATGACGTAAAGGATTTACCATTTAAATTCCATCTCAAAGAGTAATAGTTCCAACACCCGCTCATCTGGGGTCCAGAACGCTTTAAGGTGCTTCTAGTCTGCATAGAAGAACACCTCAAAGAGCGGGTGTAGTGGAATGCTCTAACTGTAGAGGCTCTGAAAAACTCAAGACTGGAGAGAACAGGTTGATCCTCTAGATCCACAGTAGTACGTACTGCATCAGTAAGCGTTGAACGGTCCCCTATACATCAGAGGCACTGGCAGGAGACTGAGGTTGCACAAGAACACAGAGACTGTGGGGACCCTGAGCCAGATATGGTCACTGTGACTGGTGGCCCATTCTCCTCTAAGGCCCTGGGGAGATCAGAGATTGAATCTGGAGTGTAAGGCACAGAAGCGCACTTAGCATCTTTGCGGTCAGTATCCATTAGGTATTGGTTGAATTGGGCTACAACGTCTTGCGAGTACAGTAAAAGGCCGCTGGCTTTTGACATATTTCGAATGTATATTTAACATACAAAAATGGATGAAATAGGAAAAAAGTTAATGGTTATGATTTACATTCACTAACATCCCTGTAGCAGCAGCAGCGTAACTTACAAGAACGCCATAGGAATAAATGGCAGCACATAATGCACATTTTAGGGCTGTTTATGCCATTTGTAAGGGAGGCCATAAAAAACACATTACTGAATGTTAATACTAGTGAATGGGCCATGAGTCTTGCATTTTTAGTGATGGGTGTAGAGTGTATTGGCTCATACTTTCCTTTTAATTAGGATATGCAACGCAATGTGAAATATGCTAGAAAAAACACACTGGTAAAAGTCAATCTTCCCTGAACGCAGAGTAATGTTTCACAAGTAAAACAGATTTGGAACATGGTATTTTATATTGGTTTTTCCAAGGCATGTACAGCAAATTCTACAGACCATGTATAATAGTGTATGCACACAATCCAGTAATTCAAAATAAAGTTATTCACAAGTCTTTAATTGATCACCTTCAAAAGAGCCTTCAGAACAACTCTAACTTATTAAAAAGCTACCGCGGTCACAAAGTTTTTTTTAGTATAGCGTCCATTTGGAATTGTGCTCTTTTCTTCCATATAACAGACTGGGGCAAGAAAACCTTAAGTTATATCCAAACCCAAAAAGAAAAATGTAATATATGACCGCTTACTAGTCCTTATATGTGGTGGCTGCATTTGGTTTCTTTCTTCATTCTTTTTCCCCCTTTATCTTTAACAGATAATGATGTAAATAAATAAATACTTTTCCTGCCCTGGGGTGGCTACACTAATTTCTGTACTTTATCTATGGCGGCCATGGCTGTCATGCAGGCTAGACTTGAAACAAGTTCTTTGCACTTTAAGCTCACAGGACACGACACTGCTGTTCTGACAAGATCAACATGTATTTTCTGTACTTGCTGAAAATGTTCTTCACCTGAAAAGTTAAAACGAATACAGTCACCACGTCCAAGGTCTGGTATGCCGCCACATATTTTTTTATTTTAAGGTTAAGATGCGCTTAAATATTTTGTTATATAAATGTGTTTCCTCTAATCAGCGTTTAAAATATCTGCAATAATAAATTCACACAGTAAACAGGCTTTATTAAGAGTGCAAGAAAATGTACTAAGAGCAGTACCATAGAACCCAGTGAGGCAAAAGAAAACAGAAATCTGATTGGCTGTTACTGGTTACTCCATGTTGTATTTCAGTACTGCTCTGTGTACTGCTCTACTGAATAGACCCATTAGACGTTTTAACAGTAAAAAAAACAACAACTCCTAGTCCTGGGCAGATATCATTATAAGGATCTGTACATCCACAAAGGTCAGGATTGTCAGCTGTGTTCTTTGCTGCCTCTGAGACTTGACTTCTGCTTTTTCTTCTCTCTCTGTCCAATTGCACGGAAAAGCTTTTTCCTGGCCTCCTTCTGCCTCTTTAGTTTGTCCTCCTCCTCTTTCTGCTTGCTGCGCACAAACTCCTTCCTTTGTGCTTTGTGTTTTGTCTTTGACTTCTGTTTCTTGTAGTTTTTAACTGTGCCCAAAGCAGCAAGGAGAGCACTTATCTATGAAAAAGAGACAACATTGAGAGGGTTTTATTAAAGTCTTCCACTGTGAAGGCAAATTTCCAGTTAACCTGTTAGGTATCCACAATGTAAAGATTAACATCCCAAGCCATAGGTCCCCATGCAGTGGGAAAGATTATCTGACATTTTTGGCAGCTTGGAGATGCATACTCCAGTCTCTCAGACTGCACTTTCTTCGACAGCTCCGTATGAAGCTGCCCATGCACTTGGCATTTTTTTCTCATTCAGCCCACGGGGATGGGGGGGAATCCAGCCCCTACCAGATTATTGTACCAGGCACCCCCAGCTGTCAGAATACCCAAATAATGATTGCAGTCACTGTTTAGCCAAGAATTCTTGAAAAATCGTCTTCTGTCGAAAAGAGCGGCGCCAGCAGGGCCACAAAGCTTGAATTTGTCCTGTTGACGCAGTAAAATTCAAGCAGTGTATGGCCACCTTTAGCAAGTGAATCATAATAAATCACATGCAGTTTATAAAAATATGATATATATATATATATATATATATATATTTCTGGGTTACAATTTAAAGCATACACCCCAGCCACCTGCTGGGGAAATCTTATAATGCATCTTGACTATTCAGAAACCATAGTGCTGTGTAAAGCCATAATGTTTACATGGCTGAACCTTAACCCACCATGCAAACAGAGGATAGTCCAGTAAAAGGAGAGGGGGGCTACAATCAGATATAGCATATTTGTTACACGGTACTAAACATGTATCAGAAATCATTATGAAAAGTGATCGTGCTCCTACCTTCCGTTCATGAGGTTCTCTAATAACAGCTGGCCGCAGTTTGTCTCTTGTTGGCTTGCCCTTCTTCTCCATCATTTTGGGCTTACTTTTAAATGGCAGAGCTTTTTGTAAAGCTTTGGGAATGTGGAGCGCATTAAAGTGCCTTTCTTGTCGCACAATAGGCTGAAACAGAAGAAGGAACATTTGTTTTCCAATACCTTAGTTTGTTTATATAATTTTCTCTTTAATTTAAATAAAGCTTGCCACTACCTTGTACAGAGAATCTTTTCGCAGTTTCCGTTTGATGCCAAGCTCGTGCCTGAGCTGTCCAACGGTTTTCATACCAGTCCAGGTCTCTTTCTGGCCCACAGGTTTCAGCAGGGAGGTGACCGGATTATAAAAGGTGGGCACAGTGACTGGGAACCAGGTGCGGAGAAATACAATGTCTAACAGGAGAGAGAAAGCAGGAAAAGAATCGGTTGAAAAGTCACTACCATATACTAGTGAAAGGCACTGCACACATCAACATTATGTATACCCCAGTACACAGAAGACATACTTTATTACTTAAAATACCCATTTTGGTTTCCCAATGATTCTAAAAAAGGAATGCTTTCATGAGAAACACTTCTACTTTTGAAAAAGCTTCAAACCCTTTTAATCATGGGCAGAGGCTTAATTGAGGAACACAAAGTATCACCGATGAGCATATCATTGAGGAGCACACAATATCACTGAGTAGCGTACAATATGGCAACAGAGAAACCTAATGTACCGCAGACAGTATGAGGTACAGCAACTAACACCTGAATGCATCTAACCTTACAGTCTGTGACACACCTTCTCCTTTCATTTATTAAGACTTCTGCAGTAGCCTCGTGCATCTGGTTGTCTCTTCACTTATGAAATGACTATCTTTTCAAGCAATAAAGCACTCTGAAAACTTGTCAGCAGTAAGTTAAATAATAGAGATGAAAAATGTTTGACTTCCCATAGTTCCTGTCCAGCATGTGAAGATGACATCCAAAAAGCTGCACTTCTCAGAAGCACCAATTACTCACCACTCATTAGGAGCTTGTCTTCAAAGGTTGCTCTAAATGCGCCCTCTGGGGTCCGCAGGGCTTTTTTGATTTGCCCTCGAATACCGCTCACTGTGCGCACAGAGGCACCTTCAAATTTAGCCACTTCAAGGACAGAAGAGAACATCCCCTAAAAAAAAACATTAAAAACATATTAGGAAAGAACTACAGCAATACAGCAAGCCAAACGACACATAAATGTGTTTTTCTATAAAAACTGAACATTGAGCCATATCAGTCCAATACAAACAAAAAATAAAGATCCTCGTTAGGCTGTTCATACATATTGCATTCTAATCGTACAATCTCCTTCAGTTATACTAACAACTATAAAGTAAGGGACTACTTGACTGGATAAAAATCGGACTGAATTGTCCAGGCAGGCGCTTACTCTACACGGATCTTGATAGATTTCAACAAGACTGTACAATCCGATTGTAACCTCTGTGGCCAGCAATAGATTACCCATGTGCACTTTGTGAACACTTTAATGCCACATCAGTCTTAAGAATAAAACCTCTTCTTTTCTTCAAAGAACTTGTCAAAGTTATTACAGAAAACACAACCCTAACCTATCTTTTGCCATAATTGCAAAGCAGCTTTAACTATCCAGATATGCTCACACAAATGAATGCTGCTCATCTGAATCTTGCAATCCTCAGTAGAAAAACTCATTAATATTATTAATGTTACAGCCACTGGCACCGTTTGTTTTTAACATTTCCTGTGTTCAGACAGAAAACCAATGACTTTCAAAAAAATTACCACTGGTTGTCGCAATACTTGAACCCTTTTACTATCATACACAGTCGCACAAATCAAATGGTGACATCAAATAGGAGTATCTTTATTACGCTAAGATTTTAATTTGTGAAGCATATATATAAGGCTGCAGCACATGTTACTACATCATGGATGCAACAGAAATTTTGGCATAAAATGCCTCATACAGTGATTTTTGGTGACGTGCCTTTTATCTGATAGGACCAGTACCCCCCCAATCGACCATATTATTAATGGTGGCAGTTTAGGTAAGCATTTTTTTCTTTTTATAGGGCTTTCTACTCATCTTTCAAGAAGGACATACAGTTATGATCTTCTTCATCTGCTGCTGTGTACATGTATGGTCGGAAATGACCAATGCAGAGGTTAAAAGCCTGAGATAAATAGGGATTTGGAACAAGAGAAATAGTTGTACTATGCCACCATATAATGCATATATTAACTGGTCACATGACAAACTACTTAGTACCTAATTGGACACATAGTAAAAACACCAGGAGCCGCCTGTTCCCAACCACAATATAATTACCAGTACAGATCTATGTCACTGCCTGTGCACACATCTGTCATGTTTAAAATATCTTACATAGCATATATGGAGAAAACAAAAACATATCAAAATCCCCAAATAAAAGTAACGCAGCAAGATGTTACCTTAATAAAAGCAGTATTTTTATAGATCTTGCATGGATATCCTATCAACTTGAGCTTCTTCACCACCGTGATAGATTTGTCCAGATCTAACACAACACCTGTAGCAGCTATACGGAAATCTGCCTATAAGAAAAGGAATGCAATCCTATTAGAAATCCAGCTATGTACATCAGCCAGCTGTCATGGAAAACAGAGTATTAACTGATGTCCCCTTTCAGATGTTTTAAATGGCAAGGTGACATCAGGCTGCAGGGTAGACACTAGCATACATACAAATACTTTATCTATCATGCTTGACTTTTCCTGCCCTGACAAAGCCCAATCTAGGAAACTCACTGCTTAAATTGGTTTGCCAGGCGAATCTACATCATGCAGAAGTACCCAAGCACCTCTAAAGCTGACCATACACCTTCTGTGGTCAGATGGAAAAGGTGCAACAGATGCCTCCATCTACACTTAACTGTGTGGATGGAGTAATCGCCACCTGGGCCAATCTGTTGCACTTTTTCCATCTGACCACAGAAAATCTGCAGATAAATTGTAAGGTGTATGGGCACCTTTAGTGTGGTACAAGCTTGAGGCGATTAAGAGACCAATGTAAACAGCTGATCTCAGGAGGTATGACTGGTGCAACCCCTGTAGCTCATCATAGGTCACTAAGTGGTCACTAGGTCACCATGTAGATTAGAGGCAGAAAATACATTTACCACTAAGTGAGGACAAAGATAATTTGGGACTGCTATGGGTTACTACACCTAGCACTTGCTTATTCAGTGAGCACACAGAGCACATAGCAGGATTACCTATGGTTAGAAACAGATGATTGCCCCTGAGCGCAAACAGATTGTGTCCAGGGGTGATCATCTGTCCCTAATCATGGATAATTACTCCATGCCTGATTACATATGTACACCAATAGACAGCTGTGGCCACTGTTAAGGTGCCCATACACTGTGTGATTATCGCACGATAATCGCTGGAAATCCCGCGATCGTACGATAATCGCAAAGTGTATGGAAGACGTGCGACCGTTTTTACTGTACGGTCGCACGTCTTTTGTCTAGGGAGCACGCTAGAAAACCAGCCGAAAATCGTACAATTTTCGGCTGGTTTGCATGATGCTCGGGAGACAAATGCCGAACGGGCCGGTGTGCGCACGCGCACACTGCCCGTTCAGCATTGCGGTCATCGGAAGCCCGCCCCTCAGCGGGGCGGGCTTGCGATGATCGAGAGTACGATCTGCCTGTCCAAGATGGGCAGATCGTACGTTTTTTAAATTACTTTACAACCATCGCAAGACTAAGGTCTTGCGATGGTTGTAAAGTGTATGGGCACCTTTAGCCTGTCATTGCTTTGTACAGGCTCAGGGGTCGTAACTATCCTCATCTACCTGTGAATCCAGCTGCAGGAATATACTGGATTCTTGCAGCAGCTGGAACATTTTTGCCGTGTGAATGAGGTCTTCGTTTTACAACAGCTGAAATGGTACCATTTTACACAAAAAACATTATATCTATGTAGTGTAGGACATATACTCACTGTGGTGGAGCTAACAGACTGAACAGCCAGAAAGCCTGTTCCCTGGGGGGTGATGGGCCCTGAAAAGGAACAGGAAAAGTTGTGTGAATCGTCTTTCCTATACATAAAGCACTGGAATTATTCTACTTCAAACAAAAGGCTTTGAAACAATTACACATTCAGAATGGAATTTTAAGCTTGAGTGCAGGCAAATATAAAAAACTGATCAAGCAATGCGGTTGTACATTTATTTTAATCATTAAAGAATGAATAATATGTATTTTTACATGCAGTTGGTGTGAGAACCTGAATCTGAATATCAGCCTCCTGTCATCTCCTGTACATCAGCACTCAGACTGGGAGGGGGGGAAGCAGTATAAGGAGCCAGTCAGCTGTGCTCTTGTGCTAACAAGGAGCATGTTGATAGATAGAATGAGCAGAGTGCCAGAGAGATGAGCTAATCGGCTTTCTACTTCTCCTTTCATTAAAGTCAGTTAAAGAGGAGACAGTGGCAGTTACAGGGAGAGAAAAAAAGCGCAGCATACAAAAATAGAAAATATGAAAACTGAACAAATAAATGTATTCAATAAGTAGGAAAACAAAGCATCCCCTTTAAAACAATGGGCAGAGTCTTAGAAACACATACAGAGAAATCAATGTCCTCTAGCTGAATGAGCAAAGGGCATGACACCCACCAGACCCAGATTTAAAAGAGCAAAACTGGGGAACCATACAAACAAAAATGTATATATAGCAGAATAGACAATAGAGTATAGAACCACTCACTATAAATACAACAAATCTTTATTGTATGAAAAAATTTAAATAAGTAAAACAGTCCCTGATGTGTGTAGAAGGAAGCCCCCTAATTATCAGTTAGTTCAATACTCTGTATATATCTATATGTGTACATGTATCCAGCTGAGATAATATGTGAATTTAAGTTATGCTAGAAAGGATATAATTGTCTTGTAGACTGCCTATCCCTCTATGTGTCTTTTTCTTTGGCCAGTTAATGGGTGAATAGGCATGCTGACCTTATCTTGGTGCTGTACTGAGTAAGCATGATGATGATCATACTTATATTTTCTACCTCATGGTGATCTACTGTACATGAACGAGACATTCACTCCCTGACCTCTTGCCGATAAAGATGGGGTGGGAAACCCATACTCCTAAAACGAGGGAAAGAGAACCTGTTGCATGTTTAGCAATGAAGGACTAAATAGGTAAAGAGTTCAGAGGACCTTTTTAATATGTCTCACTTTAAGCCATTACTGTGGAAAAATCTGCCCATCTATAGCTGGTTAAGACAGAGGTGAGCTCCTGATTTACCGTTTAGTCAATAGGCTGGGTTTTTGTTACCCAGAGTTTTTGCAATAGCCGTTCTTCCAATACATAGGAGGTTAAGAATTGGTCGTACTGTCTGGCAGGAGTACCTGGATCACAAGAGTGGCTAAAGAGACGTACAGAACCTTTGGAACATAACAGGTCCTATATATGTATTTTAACTGTGTAATTAGCCACTTGTCTTTAAACCAGAAAGCTAGATTACTAAAAAGAACTGGTTAAAACTACCATCAATGCAACTTCAGCAGATTAGATTTATATCTATAACAATATTTCCTATTTACCTAATTAAAAGCATATAAAGATTATTATTTAACCTCTGCTGCAGTGGTGGGTTGCTGTCGCCAGACGGCATTTTTTTTCTGCTCGCGCGTGCCCCCTAGCGGGCACGCACGGGCAGAAAAGACCCATCCAATGCGAACACCCGGTACCGGGTGTTTCACATATAGGCGATCAGCGGGTCCATAGC